CCTTGGATCGGTAGACGTTCCGAACAATTATCATTTTAAAGCAAGGTTTTTAGATAACAAGGGGTTCGTATTAAGATTTCACAACAGTTATTATTATAAAGCAATGAACAAAGGAAGACACTTCAGGGTTCTTGTTTTGTATACTCAAGGTATGGTTGCGCTACTTCGAATTTCTGTGGGTATATCATGGGAATACGTACATATACATCCCTTCCCGAGGAGACCGCCTCCGTGGTCTAGTGGTAGAGCGTCCGCCCGGAGAACGTAAGGTCCGGGGTTCGATCACCGTTCGCGTCATACCAAAAGACGTTAAAAGATGGTACTTGTTGTTACCCTGTCTGGCGCTCGGCATTAAGGGGCTAAAACAAGGACTGGTCGGCTCAGAGGCAGTATACTGTGTCTGAGTGGGGTATTCATGTTAAACTGCGACATGGTATCTCAGTGAGCTAGCACTATAAATCGGCATCAGTCCGGACTAGTAAGGCAGCCACACAAACACACACGCATGCACGTCGCTATATAAGTGCAATAGTCTTGGACGCGACGTTAAACCCAATTTCACCTCACCTTCCCGAGGATACGGTCAGCAATTACCAGTACGCTTGTCTTCATAACGATCAGGGGCGGTCGGGTAGCCTAGTAGTTAAATCGTTCGCTCGTCGCGCCGAAGACCCGACTTCGATTCCCCACATGGGTACAATGTGTGAAGCCCATTTCTGGTGTCCCCCGCCGTGATATTGCTGGAATATTGCTAAAAGCGGCGTAAACCATACTCACTCACTCATAACGATGATTTATAACAGAAGACTATTCCAAATGTATTATTTGTTGTACGGATTGATTTCCTACGGTAAGGTTAAGGAACCGAATGCTTTTTATATCAATTGAAAAAGCTTACTTGAATATTTTATCTCAGAAGAAGGATGAAGACAAGGCCTGAGCGGCTTGGAGTCAGGATATTGTGTCTTACTGTCAAACTGGCATTAGTCAGACACACACACGCACGCACGCACGCACGCACGCACGCACACTATGAGGCCAAACGATACATATGGATCTAGAAAATAAAATGAATTTTATATTCACCTCACCTACGTTTGTTGCTAAATGAAGTAATCTGATAATGTGATCAAAGAAATAAAACAAAGATTACGACTGATGTTCAAACGAACTAATTTATTTATTTGTTGTGGCCTATTTGTATTGCACACGTCGATTGAGAGTTATCTCCCCTTAAGGAGCACCTGTCCTATTCGCTTTCGAGAGATGCCTTGCGATGAAACGTTCTCATGTCATCTATCGTAAACTTTCAAGTATATTTATACAAACAGGGGCTATCTCAACCAAACACTTCTTATGGAATAGTTGCATAACGCCTCTCTATTGCACTGCACCAAGGAGCACAGACCCTGCCTAGATATTTGTTCGAGATGTTATTGAAACTGTCCAAGCACTGAGAACTGAAGCCTTGAAGATTTAACTATCACATCAAAGGGAGAGGGGTAGACAAATTTAACCAAGGCGCCCTCATAGGAATGCCATCACATTGGTACTTGTAATTTTATTTAAGGGAATGCGCTTTTGAATTTTTGAAAACAATATGGAACATCTGCTGCATACCACATCCGCCCATGATTGTAAGATTTGTTAACGTGCAATAATACTCCCACTCTCGAACGCTGAATGTAATTTCTCTCGGCGATGTTTTCAGTGTGGATAACATAATATGTGTATGATCTCACGGTCGCGACAGATTGACTGACGTTAATATAGGATAACACTCTCGTACAAGTATATATGGCCTCTTGAAGCATGGGTAATATTTTCACTGCTAAAGAAATTATTGCGCGCATTATGGAGCATTGTGGGACAGACACTGCAGCAGTAAATGGTTTACGGGTATGTACCTGTGAGTGATTGGATGCCTCAGAGGTTATCTTTGAATTTGTTTTGAATTGAATCTCGATGAGAAGAGCTTAAATGATGTGAGTCCCTCTTGTTCTGTGCCTCTGTTCCCGTTTCTCGTCCTCTTTCACTTCTTCTGTTTCAATCCATATAATTATTTTCCCCTTTGATGACGAGACCTTAAATGATGAAAGTCCCTCGTTTTCTGTACATCCATGCCCTTTCCCTTCCTGTCACAACCCATATACTATCCCCCCCCCCCCCCCCCCCCCCCCCCCCCCGGACGAGAACTCTCTCTCTCTCTCTCTCTCTCTTTCTCTCTCTCTCTCTCTGGACGAGACTCCACTGTCTTCAGGTCACCGTGCATATAGCTGAAATAATGGCATAAAACAACATGCACTTATTCCGTTCTCCCACTCGAGCTCTCAATTATGTCTCTCGCCTTTTTTATTCCCATCTCTTTAAGACTTACTCTCCTCCCTCCCATCACTTTTTTCCACCATAAAAAACAACATGTTTGACCCAAGCCTTTCTTACTACACAACGAATTCTTTACAGCGAAACCTTGTTAATCTACTTAATCTCGTTAAACCCCGGTCATAATGAAGCATCTGGACTATCCAGAGCGTCCGTATTAAACAGGGTCCCCCACAATACATTCCTTGTGCACCGAGCGACCCGTCACTGTTACAAACGTCACAAGAAATACCCCGCTAATCCCACTAGGTGACTACAGTGACGTTGGAGGTGACTTCAACTCACGCATTGATTGTATCAGAGACATAGAGCACTTCATGACTCGTCGGAATGACCCCCTTAAATACACTTACACTTGTAATGTGACAAAAATATTTTAAATAAAAAATATCAGTGCGATTGCGTTGCAACATCACGATCTGGTTTGGTGGTTTAGGCCGACCCCGCCTATCTGATGTGTTACACCAAGCACACACAGTGAAGAAAAGCGTCTCTCAGTCAGTGTCGACTCGCCGAGGCTACAGGTGTACAGTGTTCGCACAGTGCATGAGGAGGAATGACAAGAGTACGGAAGTCTTTTAGGGCCATTTTTTTTCGATACTATCTTGAAATTTCAAGAAACTAAGTTCAAATTTCAACATACAGAAGTTGATACTATCTTGAAATTTCAACTTATTATCTTGAAATTTCAACTTGATATCTTGAAATTTCAACTTCTGTATATTGAAAATTCAACTTAGCTTCTTGAAATTTCAAGTTAGTTTCTTGAAATTTCAACTTAGTATCTTGAAATTTCAACTTTGTTTCTTGAAATTTCAACTTAGTATCTTGAAATTTCAAGACAGTATCGAAAAAAATAAAAAAACAAATGGCCCTAAAAGGCTTCCGTACAAGAGCCCTTATAGGCCCGCTGGAAATAACAAAATTTAAATTTACGGCGAACTTGAAATTAAGTATGAAAATTAACAGACAATTTGTTCTTTCTTTCTTGTACTTTTTTCAGGCCAGCGAATCGTACAGTAAAATATGACAAGATGACCTTTAAGGTGAGGTGAAATGGGATTATTGCACTTATATATACGACGTGCATGTACGCCTGTGTGTGTGTGTGGCTGCTTGTACTAGTCTTGACTGATGCCGAGTTATAGTGCTAGCTTACTGAGATGCCATGTTGCAGTTTAACATGGCTACCCTACTCAGACACAGTATACTGACCCCGAGCCGACCAGTCCTTTAGCCCCTCAATGCCGAGCGCCAGACAGGGTAACAACAAGTACCATCTTTTAACGTCTTTTTGGTATGACGCGCGCGGGGATCGAACCCCGGACCTTCCGCTCTCCGGGCGGACGCTCTACCACTGGACCACGGAGGCGGTTGTTGACCTTAAGGCCCACTGAAAATGCCCAATTTTAATTCACGGCAAACTTGAAATTTACTAAGAAAATTGTCAGACGTTTCTTTCTTCTTTTTTTTCCTGTACATTTTGGACTTCTCACCTGATTGTGTTACATAGGAGATGTGAAAGATGCAGATTATTCCAACTTCAAGAGAAAACTCTACCTGTCAGAAAGTCCGTTACCCAGGCTAGTTAGATAACATCTGGTTGTTTTTTTAAATTTCTCAATAAAAGCAGCTTGCATTAAAAAATTGCTGATCTTCTAAAAAAGAACACTGGGAAACCTTGATTGCAAATCAGACTTTTTGACACATTTTACCCTTACCTTTTAATACATTCATTTTTTTATGGAGTCCAAAACATAAAGGTGTTGAAATAAACAAATTATTGTAATTTCTATGAATAAACACATATACTAACTTTCCTAATGAGTGCGGTTTCCCTCATGTCTTTGGTCACACCATATGGGAATACGTATGAAGCTGTCCACACATACAGTGTGATGTGGTGTCGCGTGGGCCAAATAGGCCTTGCCCTCTCGCTTATTTTATCTGTTTGTTTGCTGTTTAACGCCGCACTCAGCAATATTTCAGCTGTATGACAGCGGTCTGTAAATAATCGAGGCTGGACCAGACAATCCAGTGATTGATATCAGCATACCAAAACATTTGTCTCACTGGCCTTGTTAAAATGGTGACCTATTTTCAGGACATGTACGTTTCCTCGAGTAAACCATATTCACCTTTGGCAGAAAACACATGGTTACACTTGAACATAATTATAAACACCCTTACAATGCAATATCAGGAAAAACCAACGACGTTTGGGTAATTACAATGTCGTACTGAGCGAGGAAAAGAAGAGATGTCATATACGATGATGAACGGCTGACGTTCTGATCTGAAGCTCGCATAAAATCTCCTTTAGTTGACCTTGACATTTGGTTACGCCCTGAAATCTTTCACAGTGCCTTCCTAAACGTCATTTGTAAAAATGGTTATGATTGGTTCCACCAGTACATCGTACTCGGTATTTTAGCAAAACACAACCATTCAGGAAACGCGTTACGTTCAGTATATGCAGCCTCGATTTCATTTGCCCGCCAGAGTGCAATCTCGACGCGAATGAGTGTTTCCAAGCTTGAGCAACAGCACAACGAAGGTGAGATTTTTCATTCAAAGATGCTTTAAAGGATAAACATACTGTAAAAGTATTACATGAACATGACAAAGACAATTCATAACGATTATTATGTGTGTTTTTTCAACGGGAAAACATCGTAGGCGAATGTCTTGTATTATGGACGTGCCCATTTATCAATAGGGAAAGGGAAGGGCGATACGGTTAAGGAAGATAACTCTAGTTGACTTTTGGTCACTTTCATGTTTGAAACTTCAAGTGATTTCTGTTTTAGTTCTTAATTGAAACTGTAATCACGACTGAAATGGATGTACCCACCATTCATTTAAGTCTCGCCAGATTTGATTTCATGTGTGTCAAATCAAAAGTTATTCATATTTCAGACAGATCTACGACAGTCCTGTTGCAGCAACATTTTCTGACTGAATTGTTCCAGCTCTGCTTACAATTTACATGGTATGTTATCTGTACAGTTGGTATATAGAATATATAAATATATACAAAGCTTAAATAACCACTTTGGAGACATTAAAAATATGATTTTGGAATAAATAAATCAAAAGACATGGTACATATCTTTCAGAAGTTTGGGTTATAAGTATAATTTTTTTCATGAAAATTCGATCAGATTTGTGTCAAATTCAACTCCATCAAAAGTTATTCATATTTCAGACAGATCTACGACAGTCCTGTTGCAGCAACATTTTCTGACTGATCTGTTCCAGCTCTGCTTACAATTTACATGGTATGTTATCTGCACAGTTGGTATATAGAATATATAAATATATACAAAGTTTATATAACCACTTTGGAGACATTAAAAATGTGATTTTGGAATAAATAAATCAAAAGACATGGTACATATCTTTCAGAAGTTTGGGTTATAAGTATAATTTTTTTCATGAAAATTCGATCAGATTTGTGTCAAATTCAACTCCATCAAAAGTTATTCATATTTCAGACAGATCTACGACAGTCCTGTTGCAGCAACATTTTCTGACTGAACTGTTCCAGCTCTGCTTACAATTTACATGGTATGTTATCTGTACAGTTGGTATATAGAATATATAAATATATACAAAGCTTAAATAACCACTTTGGAGACATTAAAAATGTGATTTTGGAATAAATAAATCAAAAGACATGGTACATATATTTCAGAAGTTTGGGTTATAAGTATAATTTTTTTCATGAAAATTCGATCAGATTTGTGTCAAATTCAACTCCATCAAAAGTTATTCATATTTCAGACAGATCTACGACAGTCCTGTTGCAGCAACATTTTCTGACTGAACTGTTCCAGCTCTGCTTACAATTTACATGGTATGTTATCTGTACAGTTGGTATATAGAATATATAAACATATACAAAGCTTAAATAACCACTTTGGAGACATTAAAAATGTGATTTTGGAATAAATAAATCAAAAGACATGGTACATATATTTCAGAAGTTTGGGTTATAAGTATTTTTTTTCATGAAAATTCTATCAGATTTGTGTCAAATTCAACTCCATCAAAAGTTATTCATATTTCAGACAGATCTACGACAGTCCTGTTGCAGCAACATTTTCTGACTGAACTGTTCCAGCTCTGCTTACAATTTACATGGTATGTTATCTGTACAGTTGGTATATAGAATATATAAATATATACAAAGCTTAAATAACCACTTTGGAGACATTAAAAATGTGATTTTGGAATAAATAAATCAAAAGACATGGTACATATATTTCAGAAGTTTGGGTTATAAGTATAATTCTTTTCATGAAAATTCGATCAGATTTGTGTCAAATTCAACTTCATCAAAAGTTATTCATATTTCAGACAGATCTACGACAGTCCTGTTGCAGCAACATTTTCTGACTGAACTGTTCCAGCTCTGCTTACGTGGTATGTTATCTGTGCAGTTGGTATTGAATATATAAATATAAACAAAGCATGAATAGTTTGGTCTATAAGTATGATTTATACATGAGAATAAGATCTGGTATAAATGTCAAACGTTAACGTCAGAGAATGATAAATCTTTACTAGCCGTCAAAACTGATTCCATTGAGCCAAAAGACAAAATAGAAGTGAAAATTGCATCTTGTCTATTGATGTTTTATCCCAAATGCCATATATTTGTACCAAGTTGTTATCACCTGAATCGATATGAGGGGAGGCCCTCTTGTCAACGGTCAATTTTGAGACATAAAAGCAAAGTTTAGCTAATGCGAACAAAGACAACTTGCGTTTTTTGGATATATTTTCTGGCATTAATTCCAAGATTTACAGTATATGAATGGTTCGCTGAAATCAACTACTTATTTGTGACATTTTACAACATTGTTGAGTGTTATTGTTTTGTATTAGACAGGATGCCACCCACACTGAGAAGCAGACAAGGCAAAAGCCAAGACCCAGACTACAGGCCACAAAGACTCTCTCTGAGAGATCCACCACAAGACAGATGGAGTGAAACACAACTGTATGATGTGGACATACTTGAAACAAAAGTAGAACAGGGGGTTATTCGCCACAGGGTACACTACATTGGATGGGCCTCCAAATATGATCAGTGGGTTGAGGAACCGAACATAGTTACTCGATCATCCCTCAGTAGCAACACTCCAAATGATATGTTTAAGTTTCAGGTCCTCACTTGTATGAGGGATCAGTTAATTTGCTCAAGGGGCATAGATTCGTTGGTAGTTGTTAACATCCCCCTTTCATCCCCATCGTTAGCTCAAGAAATTATCAGTCTGGCTAGAAAGGTTAGATCATGGAAGGGCTCTACTCCAGGTGAGGAGTTCAGATTTCTAGATGTACATAGCCCCGACATCCTCTTTGGGGATCACTGGTGGTTCCGCATTTCTAATCAAGCGGGGGATTTCATTTATATCAATCGTGAAACTGTGAAATTCCGTTTATATGAAAGAAAACCAAGAGAGGAATATGACCTGAATATGAGAAAGAAACTTGTCCACAGGGGATATATGTTCAGACTGCAATTTGTAAGGGAAAAAGGCAACACGCAGGATATTCATTTGTTGAGGTGCACTTTGAAACATTAAATTGCACTTGTCCTTTTGAAGGAATATGACCTGAATAGGAGTAAGAAACTTGTCCACAGGGGATATATGTTCAGACTGTAATTTGTAAGGGGAAAAAGCAACATGCAGGATATTCATTTGTTGAGGTGCACTTTGAATCATTAAATTGCACTTGTCCTTTTGAAGGAATATGACCTGAATAGGAGTAAGAAACTTGTCCAAAGGGGATATATGTTCAGACTGTAATTTGTAAGGGGAAAAAGCAACATGCAGGATATTCATTTGTTGAGGTGCACTTTGAATCATTAAATTGCTCTTGTCCTTTTGAAGGAATATGACCTGAATAGGAGTAAGAAACTTGTCCACAGGGGATATATGTTCAGACTGTAATTTGTAAGGGGAAAAAGCAACATGCAGGATATTCATTTGTTGAGGTGCACTTTGAATCATTAAATTGCACTTGTCCTTTTGAAGGTTTGTATGTATGATAGTTTCATACAGATTCCCAGTATGAGAGTTTTTGTTCTTGTATCAGTGGTATTTTGTCTTTGTTTGGTCAAAGAACTAGATTTTTTACAGTTTTTAATGGCTGACAATGATGTGAAAATTGATGTCAAAGTGACAAAATCTTTTTTATTGAAAGAATTTAAAAGAATCACTCGACATGTTAATACATTTTCAACTGACGTGTGCACATTGATTTTGGAGTCAATCTGTGACAAGCATCACATTGAATTCCATTTTGTTGTTATTGAGAAGGTGTTACCTACATTGAAGTCATATCTCAAGAAGCTTATTTCTAATCATGATAAAACTAAAAAAAAGGGAGGTAAACAATATCAACGTCTACTGGAAGTTTGGGACAGTGAACATTATTATGTTAAGATTTTTGTAACTGAAATCTGTCTTCCAGACATGCACACAAAGTTAAAAAATGAGAAAAGCATAAGAAAATCTTTGATGTGCAGATATAAATCTGCAATCAAAAAGGCAAAACATTTCCAGTCGCAGAAAATGGTTTTGAAGAAAAGAATCAATCAATTGAACGCAATTCTCTTGGAAAGACAAACAAATAAGTCAGTCCGGCCGTTTAGAGTGCTGTCCTCCAATGATTGTCTGTCAAGGTCACAGCTGTATAAAAGAAACAAAATGTTGTTAACTGAGTGTAAACAATCGTTAGAATTCATGGGTAGATATGAGATGGAGGCATTGTCTGTTCAAGTTAAAAAGTCGGATGGCATTCAGATGTCTTTGTCTTTAAAAGATAGTACTCCAAAGGAAGATGGTCCCATTGTTGATTTGGATGGGTTAATATTTGTAAAGGATTCTGAGAATATTTCTAACAAGGCCTATCATGAGTTGTCTATGATTGTACCCACTTTACCAAGATCACACACAGTAACAAAGAGAATGAAAGAGCACAATGCCAACATTAACATAGTCAGTACCCCCAATGATGTGTTAGGAGTACAGCAGTCTCTGAAGGATAGACTTACAAGTCGTATCTCTCAATTAATCACATCAGGGAAGGGTAGCTTAATCTTGGATACCGAAAATGTCAATGTGAAACTCACAGGTGATGGCACTGATCTTGGTAGGCGCAAGAAACTTGTCAATTTTGGCTTCACTATACTAGATGATGAGCAATGTGTCTCAGTGAAGGGTAATTACTTACTTGCAATGTTTTCAGCAAATGAAAGTTATGAAAATGTACAAAAGGCTCTTGAAGATGTAATCACTGAGGCCAAGGCATTAGAGTACATTTATGTACAAGATCTTAGGATTCACGTCACATACTACTTGGGTGGAGATCTGAAGTTTTTGAATATGGTCTCTGGTATAGCCTCTTGTGCTTCAACATTCTCCTGTGTTTGGTGTAAATGCCCTGCTGCAGACAGGTATGATATGGAAAAGAGCTGGTCAGTTACTGATGTAAGTCAGGGGGCAAGGACTGTTGAAGAAATTTCAGCTATGGCTAACAGAAAGGGTAAGAGGTACAACTGTGTTAAACCTCCGTTGTTTGACTTCATTCCACTTGTAAGAATAGTGCCGGATATATTGCACTTGCGTCTGAGGCTGTCAGATCAGCTTGTGAAACATTTGATCTCATACCTCAGAGTTCTTGATAATATTGACAGGTGTACAAGCAGGTATGACAAAGAGAAGTGTAAAAATGTTTTCAAGTTTGAAACATTTGTTCGCAGCTGTGGAATTGACTTCCACTTTAGAAATGACAAGGAGTCTGGTAGATTTCTCTTCAGAGGTTTCACAGGACCTGAACACAAAATAATTTCTGAAAGAATTAATCTTTCAGAGTTTATTCCAAATCACCCAAAACGTGACAAGATCATTCATTTGTGGGGTGAATTATCCAATATATGCACTGTCCTTGGTAAAGAAAGGTTTGAACCTTTTGAGTATATCATCCTTGACAAAAGATTCAAGGGTTGGGTACAATGTTTTGGACAGGTGTATCAGAGTAAGGACATCACACCTTATATGCACATTCTGGCTTTTCATGCTAGTGAGATGATCAGGCTGCATGGTAGTTTATGTAAATTCTCTCAACAAGGCTTTGAAAAATTAAATGATAATGCAACATCATGGTTTTTCCGGTCTACGTCCCATAGAGGTCAGGAGGCCTTGAGGCAAGTCATGCTTAAGCAGAATAGGCTCGAAATGTTGGAGAATTCTAAAAGAATTCCCAGGGAGAATAGTTGTAGTCTGTGTCATGGACAAGGGCACAACATGAGGTCATGTGAAACAAGCAATCTGCTGTAGTTGTGAATTCAGTATCTTATTATTGTATCTTCCCATAAAGAGATAATGCCATTAAATACAGTTCAAATATAGTAATAGTAAGATGTGACAGACCAACTCTATCTGACATTAATATGGCAGAAGTGCGGAAATTCATAGGTCAATGTTCAGGGTGTACGACAGCATCATAATGTAAATGTGTTGGGTTTTTTATCCTACCCTCTCAAGTAGCAGGGATATCAGTTTTGTTACATGTCCTTAGAAGGCAATTTAGTTCAATGGGTAATAGAATTGGTAATGTTAAGAATTTTCTTTCATAACAGACTCTATATTTATGTTGCCTGTGAAGATAAACGTTTTCCAGACTGCTATTAGACATTAGTACACAGTCTGTTTCAATGGCTCATGTATGTATGATACACAGTGTATCTGGGTGATCTGATTATGACATTATTGTTACAAATGTCTTGATTTGTGTCTTTACATATGTCATTCATGACAGGTATGTACTCAATTATTTGCTCGAGGGTAACAAGTAGGGTGATATGTGATTGTTATCTTTCTGTCGCTAGTGTACTGTTTTGAAACATTTTTCATCAGTGATGATACACAAATTGATCTTATTGTAACGAAGTATGTCACATATGACACATAATGACCTGAATGCAGGGAACATGTTTAAACCTGATTACTTTACTTCTTCAATGCAGGTTAATAATTTAAGGTTAGGTTAAAGGCCGTAAAAGAAGTCTCAAAATGCAGAATAGTGTTTTGTTAGATTTGAGTTTTATGAAACTCTGCATTTATTTAACAGTTTTTGTTTGTGTCAAACGGAGTCATGGCTGCAAGACGTTTCAGTCGAAATGGATACTGAATATTGGACCATCCTTAAATAATAGAGGTCTATATGAATGCAAACAAGTATGATTATTTTGTTGTGATCCTTTCTGTGAGATGGGCTGAAGCTCACTGAGTGATGGGACTTTCAAATACTTATATACCAACACTGGTGATTTAAAGACATTGTCAGTGTTTTGGTAACAAGTCCCAGTTTTGTGTTGGTAAAAAACTGCTGTATTTTCTGTTGTGTTTTCACAATTGAAAAATAAATTAGTTTTGAACAGTGTTGTTTTCTTTATCTGGTCACCCTTGTAGTTTATTATACCCCCGTTTACAAAGTAAATCGTGGGTATATAGCATTCCGTTCGTCCGTCCTTCCGTCCGAGCTTTTGTATGGCCCATAACTTTTTAACCATGCACCCTAGCTTCACCAAACTTGCTACACACATTTACCACAATGAGTACTTGTGCCTTTTGCTAGTTTGAAGATTCTGATTTTTTTAATTTTTGCCGTTTCCATGGAATCATGGTGAAACATAAATTTTGGGTAGAGTTTTTGTACGATCCATGTTTACAATATTATGTATCCTAGCTTCAGCAAACCTGCTACATTAACCACTATGGTTGTTTTTTATGTTTTATAAGATTGTGAAAGTTTTTTCTTTTGCTGTTTTCATGGAAACATGATGGAATTTAGAAATTTTGATGACTGGTTTTGTATAGCTAATAT